CGCGATTTTTTCTTTACTCCCTGAACAAAATTTATAGGATGCATTATGAAAGTCTAAAAATTTGCCTGAATTGATGTCCTGTCACGATTACGTGTGCTTCGAAACATATTCAGTATTTCTTTGCTTTTTAAATTTATGCGTATATTTTTATGCTTTCTGTGATTGTTTCTGTGATATGCTTAAATGACTTTTTGAAACGACTCAGATTTTTCTAGAATTTTCCATTTTGCTATCCGTATTCTGACCTCTAATCGAATCATAAGATCCCTCGGTCACATTAATATTCAAATTATGAGGCCACTCAGTCACAATATATAAATATCTAACGATTGCAACAAATCATTCGTCATTTCACATTGCTTGATGTCCATACGCTGCACATTCGCTTTCTTTCTACACGAATTTTTGACTTCATTTATTATTAAAAATAATGTTTTATTAATGTTTTTTATTTATTTGTAAAGTGCAAAATAATGATGTATTTAGTTAGCTACATGCAGTGCAAATATTCACACTTCTGTATTCTGTGATGATTAAATTTCGAGTCAGCAATGTGTTTTTGTATATGGAATGTAGGATTATATTAAAATTGGCTTTAAATATTATTAATGAAAAAATTTATAAATTTTACGATAGTTACATTAATGTTTCGATAAGTAGTTGTAGTATTTTTCAGATAAATATTTTTGTTTTCCTTGTGCTCTTTCTATTCTTCATTAGGTTTATATACCTTTTAAAATTTTTAAAGCATTTTCAAAATTTTTTTAATAAGGAAGAGTACTTTTATTTGTTATATAATTTTAGCGCGGTGCGGTTGGAGATAGTTTCATTTCACTATTTATAGTGTAATGTTGAACTGAACGTTCATTGTAAATTTGCTTTTATGCGAACAGTGTCGTGTAGGGGACAATTAAGAAGGGAAGAAGAGGAACCGCTAGTGAGCAGATATAATTCGTGATTCGTTAAAATGATGTGAATAACGACGTTGTTTGCGTGTAATATTATTGATGTATTAATGAATTTTAATTAACATTATTAGTAAATTTAGATTGAAGGTGATAAGTGAATTTGCAATAAGTGTGATTTGCATAATTATTAGCGTTCGACAGGGAAAATGGGTGATTGGGGTAAGTCTTTTTGTTTGTCTTTTTTTATGAGGGAGATGGGATGCATGAATGGTGATCAGCATTTTGCGCTTTATCTATTGAGAGGTTATATTTTAAATCGGAGAGATCAAAAATATTAGAATAGGTTGAATTTCTTGCCTTTTATCGTTTTGAACCAGGGATTGTAGATTGAATGATGATTACGTATTTTAATTATAGATGATGATGATTTCGAAATTGATGTAAAACAACTGGATGAAAAGAGGCATACGGTAGTAGACGAAGAAGCGGGCGACAAACTGGATCAGAATCAAGTATGTGAAATTTTTAGAAAAGCTATGCATTTTATCTTGTAAAAACTTTTCGAAGGGCACAGTGATCAGTTCATGCTTAAATTCAGTTAAATCTTGATTTATCTGAAGGAAATCATGCAACCTGAAAATATTTATGTATTCTAACCTTTTTTAAAATTTGTTTCAGCTTTTTTGCTAGACTTTCGTGGGCTTCTATCATCTCATTATTAAAATCGAGATGTTTGAAATGCAATCCTCATTTTTAAGTGACAAATAAAGTTATGCTTTTCAGCCGCTTAATGCAGTTAAATCGGCAGCATCCTCATCGAAGTCAAAGAAGAACAATCCACTGAACAATTTCGCTGCTGATCTTAATCGCGAATTGACTGGAAAAGAGAAGGAGCAGTTGCAGAGGAAAGCTGATTTGATGCTCGCAAAGGATTTATTCGGTATGTTTTTAATATTTATGTAATCTTTGTAGTCTTTAGTTACTATGCTTTTACTTCTTTTTGGCCGTATTAAATCTTGTAGATTTTATATCTATTTTATAAAGAATTTGGTTATACTAATTGTTTTTCATATTAAAGTATGTCATGAGTTCATTCGTAAAATTTTGCAGGTGTTGATACGGATGAGCCTCTGACATATGCAGAACTGACTTCCTTAGATGAATTTAGGACATTTGGTGAGAACATTGGCAAAATGCTTTTAGCACGATCAAATGCTACCCACTTTTCAGAGATGCTTATTTCACTTCTCAAAGTAGTCCTCTCAAACAGTAAGTTTTAATATGAAAGATTTCTTTAAATCTATAGTTTGCTTCTTAATTTTTTTTTTTAAAAAAAAGTAATTCTGAACCTAAGCAATGAAATTAGCAAAAGCGAAGTGGGAAATATGAAATAAAGCAGATTTTAAGACATTATTGGATTTTGAGTTAGGCAAAAAAAAAAACAAAAATAGCGCAGCTTGAAATCCACGTAATAAAGGATTTTTGATATGTGTCATAAATTTTTCGCTACTTCTGAAAGGGCATATGAAATGGTACATTCTGCTTTAGTTCATTTCTCATGTGAATTTCTACTTTGTCTATTCTATTCAATATGTTATGTGTAGACGCTGCTTATATGAACATTTTTCCCTTAAAGCATTTACAATGTCTACATTTCACAACAATTTAATATTTAGTCCGAGATTTTATTTTGAGAATCAGAAACCTGCTTTTTAAATATTAAATTGTTGTGAAATTTCAGTGGATGCGAACAAGGCAAGGCATTTGAGTACGGTTTTAAAAACGATAGCAGACGAAAAAACAGCAGCTGAAAAGGTTATTTAATTTATCAGTTTCTGCAATCTTTTTGAATTCCTTACTTTATGGCCAGGTTTTTAAAAATCTATTTTGGATGCTTCATTATGATATTTTCAAATAAATGTGAAAACGTTACTGAATGTAGCCAAACGCAACATCCACTTTCCAAAAACTTAAATTGATAGTTAATTAACTAATGATGCTATACGGATTCCACGGCGAAACTTTTAGAGATAAATAATTAGCAAATGTTGATGTGACTTTTTTAATTATATAAATTGCAATTATTTTCAGTGGTGCTAGATGTGGATTAAAGACATATAAAATTATGTGGTGATTCGTTGTGCATTTTAGTGTGTTGCTGTTTTTACCTGCTTTTTTTGTCTCGTAGTATTGAGTTAGAATTCATTCGACAAAAACATTGGAAAAAGAATTCATAAATCATCATTTCAGAAGGCGAAGGGAAAGGGTGCAGCAGCGAAACCGACGATAAGAACCACCAATAAGTCGAATGCAGCATCGGCTAAAGCAAAGAGAGATCTGTATGACGATTATATAGCTGATGAATACGACGATTATGCCGATCATTTTATGTAATTTAAAATGATTATGTCATTCTAAATGCGCTCAAATTTTCTCTTCCCTTTTATATCATTATTTTTGTGTTTACAGTTGATTCATTTTTGTCCAGTTTTAATAGCTAATTGTAAGAATGACTATTTCATGCTAATTAGTACGAGATAAAAATTCCCTAGAAATTTGAAGGTACTGGAAAAATTTATCAGTCTTCTGTCATCACACATATTGTGATTAATATATTTTGATTTTATTTCGTGTTTATGTCTTTATTGTATGAAACTCAACACAATTTTTTGAAAAAAAAGTTTTGTAGAAGAGCTGCATGCTCTCCCTAACTCTTACTTACGGCTTTCTTTATGCAGCTTACTTTGCCTTGTTTATTTTTGTATAAATATGGTGGCGCTTTGCAGAAATGATCAGAAGTTTTAAAACTTTTGAGTAAGACAAATGGAATAAACCCATCCGTATGAGATATTATTTGATTTAGCCACCACCTGTGTATTTACTCACTGTTTTTGTCGCAATAAAGTACTTGTTGTCAGTTGTTTCGTTATTTTTGGATAAAATTGTTTTTTTTTTAATTTGTCGACAGTATTATTTCTTTGCTTTTGTTTATATTCTAGATCAATTATTCTTTTTTGAGGTAAATGCGGCATTTTCTTAGCCGTAACGATACAATTCTGCTTATTATCTAAGTCTGTCAGTTCTCACAGCAATTATTAAATTTACTATCATCGGTTAGGACATTCGTTAATTGAAGTATGTTCTACTATTAATTTTAGGAAGGATGGTGGTGGAATTTCACAACTTACCGAAAATCA